TGTTCCTAACTCTGAACAAACCGTTATGGTTGTTCTTTCAAAAGTTTGCAACTGATATTGACTTAATACAGCTTTGAAACTTTATTACATCGAAAAAAATGCTGCTTTCCCTTTGCTTTTAGTAGTTTGTTTAACACAGTACTGTACTGTATTTGCTTTTTTTAATCTCTGCTGGTGTCTGTACTTCCGGTTCCCAATGAGGTGTGATGTTGACTAGTCAGTTCGTAACTCTGGTATTCCTAACTCCAAGCTTCCATTGTAATAACTTGCAACTGGTCATGCTCTGATTCTTATATACATAAACTGATTGTGTAATTAAGTAACCTGTAGTTAAGTGGAGAACACTGTAGGTAATAATCAGCAATATTCTCCAGGGGAATCTTCTGACAAATTAGTATGTTACATAATGTTGTGAATCCCTGCTGTTGCTTTCAGTTATTCCCATTCCAGTGTTGCCATTGTTCTCCAGATGTACCATTTAAAGCTAACAAACTTTTGATTAATATTAAAGAGAGAGTATTTTTAATTATTTTAAGTTCTGTAAAGAGATGTAAAAAAAGGCTTTTATCACTTAAGTATGGAGTAGTTTGTCACACATGCACCCTTGCCTTAAGGTTTTCTCTTTTAGGAGAATTCCCACAGTCTGATTCTCAACTCCACAATGCAACAGCATGTATAGTTATACATGTTAAAATAAGTGAGGTAATGAAATAGTTTGTGATCTGAAGATTCATTGCTTGTAGGGGTATAGACAGCATTTCCTCCCCTGCCCCTAATGCACAGCATTGCACAATTGATTGGGAGTGCATTTAAGGGATCTTGTTTTGAAGAAACCAGTTTTGGCCGTTGCTGGTGGTCAGATACCACCAGATCAGATGGAGTCAGTGGTCTGATCTTATTCCCATCTGGGGAATGGTTGCTTTTTTCACATTGACTTCAAATGTAATTGTACTGAGAGTGAATCCTTAATTCTGATGTACATGTCACAGTGGGATTTCCCTCAGCCTTCTCCCATCTGATTAGCTTTAACATCAGCGGGGCAGGGGAGGGAAAATCTCTCAGCTGAACAAATGCTAGTCAACTCTCATATTGCAAGTAAAGTTTTAAAACTGAAAATAAAAAATCCACCTTACCCTTGTAATATTAACCAACATCACATTTAAACCATCTCAGTGCTGTGTTCTGCACCACAGAGATCTGTACTTTAATGCTTTAACATAGAATACTTTGTGATTAGTTTCACTATTATTCAATATTCAGCTCTTGTTGCTTATGGAGCTTTCTCATAATTGACAGATTAGTGTTATTTCCAGTTGAAAGGCTTTTGCATATGTGATTTCTGCAGAACCAGTAAAATCTTTATGGCAAAAGGAATAACTGAAAATATTAATAATCTCTAGAAATCTGGTATGGGTGTCAATATTCTTTCATTATAATGAGTTTCAGGTAGAGGTAATCTGGAGTTACCTAGCTATAAGAAGTCACAAAAGTAATTCTCTTTCTTTTACCTGCCTGTGATAAATCCTGTAAAACCTAGAGCTACGTTATAAGATTTTATTTAAAACAATTCATGATCTGTGTGAGGCTATTCTTGCTGTAGGGGGGAAAAGTGGTCTTTGAAGGGTTTGATGTTCTGTGAGGGAGCTTGACTCTAAAGATGTCCTTGGATGAAAGGCTATAGACGTGCAAAATATCCTCTTCCAATGGCCATGACCCTGGAGTTCTGGGTCACCCTTCTGCCACTCATGGTATAAGCTGAAGAGAGTAATGGTCTCTCTGTGAGGTGAGAAGGGAATTCCTCACTCTCACTTTTTTTTTAGAGGAAGGTGTCCTTGAAGACTAAACTTGTCTCTGGATGGGCAATAAAGTAGTATGTTAAGGAATGTGTAGTGGACATGGAGAATTTGTTACTAGTTCAACACTATTTGTAACTTTCAATTTTAACAGGATCCTGCAGTAAGCCCTTGTGGGGGTGGGGCCAAAGTTGGGCATTCCCGTTGCCTTTCCCAGCATTCTGGGTCAGACCAAGGTAGAAAGCCATGTTTTAGCCTTCTCTTTGCTTTTTCCATCTCTTATTTGACTGCCTGTCACTTCCTTTTCATCATTGTTTGCATATGTAAATCACATTGCCCATGGAAAGTAACTATAGTTGAGTAATTATAGAGACCCTATGGTTTAATTCTGGTTTCCCTTTGCTTTGAGGGCAGGGGATGGGAATGACTGACGTGTACAGAAGGCTGTATGTAACTGTGATTGAGAAGTACAGGGATGTAAAGGTTATTTCCCCCTTCTTAAAAATACAGATGATAGAAGGTTCAGAGATCTGAAAATCCACCCTGCCAGAGACTCCACATCTACCTAGCAGCCATCTATAATGTAAAATTTGGACTCTCAAGGCTGTCATCTTTAATGCCTTCCATCAATCCACACACCAATAGCATTCGATCCGCTTAAACTAAAAGCTGGGCAACTGATATTCTGCAAACTGTTGTGGCATGTGGGAGAAAAAAATCAAAATCAGGATGATGTGGTCGTATTTTAGTGAAAACAGATGTTTGAGTTCCAGTACCCTGGCCAAACTCCTATTTATCTAGCTTATGTCTTTTCTCTTAGGTTCCCTCTGCAGCTTTGGTTGGATTCATTCTTTACTTCATGTCCTAAAGTGATGTGTGCCTGTGACATTACACAGGATACAGTCTGGACTGTTGAACAGCTGTCTCCCCTCAATTCTCCAGCCTGAGGTGTCTTTTATACTGCTCTGCTGTGAAAGCAACCACTCCTGGTCTGCCCACACATATATTCCCAGCTATATTATGAGTGCTATGGCCAGTTCTCTTGAATTACACTGCAGAGCAACACCAGCAAATTCCCAGTCCCAGACTTTTCCCCAGAAATTTTGCATCTTGCACTGCTCAACCCTCTCCTGGATAATACAAGCTCATATAAAGTCTGTCATTTTATTAATAGAAAATGGTATGCACAAATCCTGTTATACGAAGTGAAGTTTCCTAAACACTTCAATCCAAGCATACTGATTTATTAACTACAGAAAGACTTTAAGTGACTACAAGTAATGAGGCATAAAAGTAATAATTGGATACAAATAAATTATTATCCAATTATGACAATTTTAGCATAGTCTTGGAAAAAGGAATGAACAGAAGGGTACAGACTGTCAGTGGCATTGCTGTATATTGTTACACAGGATAATAGGAGGTTTAAGGTGTAGTTCTACTCTAAAAGGTTACTGAAATAACATTGTGGGTTTCTTGTTTGTCTTGATTACTTTTGCATCAAATGTGATTAACTTACAGGTAAGAGTCTCTTCCAACACCCAGTCCTGCAAACTGAGCCTAGGCTCTGACAATCAATCTGGGGTTTTTCCATCTTGCACATCATCACTAGCAAAAATAGCTCTGCAGGCCAAATTAAACTCAGTGACATCTGTGCTCTACATTGAAGGGGAAGGGATTGCACAAGCATCGCTATCTCACAGGCATCATTACAGCAGAATCTGAAGACAGTAGAGCTGCACTCATATCACTGGCTGGAAGTTAGGGAAAAAATTCTGGTGCTTACCATGGAACAGGAACTTCAGCTCGCTGTCCCATAGCTGTGTTGGCTTTGAGAGGCTAAAAGGATTACAAGCTAATAAAAACTTATGTGTTGACTCTAATGATAAAAAACATACAATGAAACTGACCACATATACACAAGGAGTAAGAAAATGCCATTACACTCTTCAAAGCAGACCTGTACTTGACGTAGCTCCCCAGTAATCAGGGGACTGTTATAAAGCCCTTAAATGACACAGATTCCTCCTTGCTTCCTTTAATTTTGAGAAGCAATTTTTAGTTGCTGCAAAATATGTAGAAATGCAGGAGCTGTGTTTATGTGCTATAATAGTCTATATAATTATGGACTTGTGTAGCAATAATGTTTAGTTTTTTCCTTCTTTAGACTTTCAAATTGTGTTTGTAATGTTGGTTAATTTCTTAATTTAAAAAATGAATTTAAGGGCTTATGTGAGTCCAGAGACTTCTTCATATATTCGGAATGGGTAAGTCTTCAAAAACACAGTTCAGTGGTGGTCATAACACTGAGAAGTGCAGAAAAGTGGTAACTGGAAACAGAACCTTTTATTTCTATACTGCTAGTTAGAATCCAGCCCAGGTTAGTGGTGACAGAAAGCTGTTGCCATGTATGTTTGGGCATCTGATTCTATATTCCCTGGGAATAAGTGTCCACATCATATGAACCATCATCAGTTAGCCCTAACTGACAACTCTGTTCCTAAACTAAAGTACCCTTTTATTCATGGAGGTGCTTTCTCTAGGTCCACATTAAGACCTGTTGGCAGAGCAGTATGAGGAATTCTTGCATTGCAGCAATCCATGCTCTGTCTATTGTTTGGTCAGAGGTATTGATTCTTCAGGGTTGGTAATCAGGCACATCATGTAACATAAATTGTTTAATGGCTATCGGATGTGTATATCATTTTAATCTTGGCCATTTGTGATTGCGAAGGATTTTTGCTGGATGTTATCCGAGCTTGTTTTAAAGTCTCTCTCTCTCTTTTTCCCCCCATGACTGGCACGCAAGGTCTGGGAGGCCACTGCATTTCTGAGAGATGAGCCGTGTGCTGCAGTGTGCTATATTTACTGTGCTCATGGGACTGTTGCTCACAAGAACCATGGCCTGGACTTCAAGTGGGAAAACACATGCTGAGCTACTCAACAATCTTTACAGTGAGTACCACCAGCAGCCCCTCTTCAGGGCTCACACTTAAAGCTGATGATTAAACTTCACAGCACTTTAACAGTTGTAGGTTTGATTTTTCACATTTGACTGAGTGGGATTGTAATCCATCATTCTAAAATGTCCTGCAATAGTCTTGGCACTTTTATCTTCACCCACTTCAGAATCTGGATGTCACAGCCTGAAACTGTTCTGTTTCTAATCCTAAACAGGACACGATGCTAGGAAAACTATCCTAGTTTTTTCTACTAGGGGATAAAAGTGTAAATAAATTGTCCATTTAGTCCTTTGCCTCTTTACTGGGACTACCAAGTGTGGTGCTTGGTAATGCAGACACTTGCCTACTAGGAAAAACTATCCAGGCCCAAAGTCTCTCATATGTGTGTCTAATTTGAGAATATGCAAAACACCTGTTGTATGATTCTGTAGAAAATTACATAGAGCAGGGGTCGGCAACCTTTCAGAAGTGGTGTGCCATGTCTTCATTTATTCACTCTAATTTAAGGTTTCGTGTGCCAGTAATACATTTTAACGTTTTTAGAAGGTCTCTTTCTAGAAGTCTATAATATATAATTAAACTATTGTTGTAT